CAGCTTGTACCGGCTTGAGTTTGTGTTGGACTGCAGCTGGTGATGGTGGTTCTTGTTCTGCTCAGGTGGAGAACTGGTACATGCGGCGCCATGCAAAGCTTGCCAAGGCCACCGCGGGGAACAAAGACTGCTGTCATCAGCTGCAGTTAGTGGGGTAGCTGTAAAACCGTTAACAATGGGCTGGTTAGCAGCGACTTAAATTAAAATTGAACCTAAAAAAAACTTAGCTCAAAGAATCATTTTCAGTGCCAAGAAGTTTTCATTTACAATGCAGGCAGTTAATAATGCAGAACAATGTTAAGCAGATAATCAGCACAGGCAGTTAAATCGTGACAACATAGAATCACATGACATTACAGAGGTGAGAGGTAAAATCAGAGGGGGCACGGTCTGACAAGCACGAACAAAAAGCAATTTGAGCATTTGGTTACATGCAATGGAGCAATAGAAGTCACGCTATGGTACATTTAATGTTCCTGCAGTGTCAGCAGGTATTCATTCATTCAGGCTGCACAGAGCCTCAACAACCTCCATGAGTATAGTAGAGCAGTCTGTATGTAGCCTAACAGGGAAGACCCAGGGCAAAAAAGTCCACAAAGGACTTATGACATGACTCGTTCCTGTTCATTGGGCTCCAGATAGAGACAGAGAGACTGTAGCAAAAAAAATCAGCTGAAACTGTAAAGATCAGGGGGGCATCAGGTTTAGGTTCAGGTTTAGATTACTTCATTTGTACCTATAGGTAGATTCTACAAACAACGCAGACAATAGACAAACAAAATAAAAGTACTCATGGTTCTAATCATCACTAAGTCACTAAAAATAAGAATTAAAAAAGATGTTGCTTCTGTAGCATCTGTGAAATGTTGCTACAACTGGTTCATCTGAGTGATGGCTGGGGGAACAAAGCCTTTTTTGCACCGCTTTGTTCTGCACTTTGGAACTATACACCAGAAGGAAGAAGCTGAAATTCACTGTGCAAAGGGTGGGAGTCATCATTTAAAATCAAGCCAGCTATACGCTGTAAGACGCTGGGTTAAGCTGTGACTCACCAATCAGCCTACTAGACTATTTAACAATTTGATTCAGAGAGTTTCTGTTCTTTAACGATAGGTTTCCAAACCCCAACACGAAAGAGAAAGAATCGATTCAATAAAAGCGGGACACAATGAGGTCGTCAGAGTGTTGTCAGTGTGGAAATTGGACGGTTTCCTCAAACAAAACAAACACTGCTGCTTCACAATTTACTTCAAAGTACAGTTTTGAGTCAATACTTTCCCGAGATTGTACACACTCAACTGTCTATATGACATTGTATTCTAAAATCAATGACCACTTCTTTTTATCTTGGACATGTTTAATTGAAGGTAGGACTCCAGACACTACTTGACAAAGTCGTCGATGACCAGGCCATAGCTGGTCTCATTGTTCTGGAGCCAACTAGAGATCACATGCATACTTTAAGATGATCCTATCTAACACTCCTGCCATGACATATTTGTATAGAGGATAAATAATAGGGGCGGCAGCACCCATCCTTGTGGGAAGCCAGTTGAAGAGCAAACTTGGTCAGACAGAAGATTGTTACCGAAGTCAAAAAAGGAAGCCTGCTGGTTAAAATATGGGGTTGAACTGTGTTGAAAAAAGAGGACAAATCAACAAAATCAACTCTAGCATGACAATAATTTCCCTCCAAGTGTTTAACAAGGAAGATAAGCAAAGTGCAAAGCATCCTCTGCCTCTCTGTGTGCTTCAGGTGAAATCGACTGCGGTTTCTGAATTTTGTGGGAGCAGGTAGCAAGGATAGAATGATACCAATAAAAGTCTTATATCTGATGTAAGAGTCACTGATGAATGGTCATCAAAAACAAAATTGTAAAAAGTATCATGTTTTATAGTTAGTTGTCTTGACATCCAGTGTAGTGGTTCATTTTTGTCCCACTGATAAGCACTGTGATGGGTGAGCAAAAAGGCCTGACTCTCCACATTAAAAAGAAAGCCATTGTCCAAAAGATAAAGCACTGTTTATTACAAATGATAAATGATAAATGAGTTCTTGAGTTACTTGAGTTCATCTGACAGGGCTGTGGGGGTAAATCTGACAAAAAAAGGTTGTGAACCAGTGATGTACACTAAGAGAGGCACCACTCTTTGTAACACACCCTGTTTGTTATGCAAAGGAAACTCAGAGCTCTGCCGAGTGAGACTCCCTCAGATGAAATATCTGCCCCTGGCAGGAAGAGGCCGACATCTTCAGGCTCCACCGGCTCAGTATCTTCCCTCCCAGAGTCACTCTGAGCAAAAGGCCATCAGCCCATCTCACAGCGAGATCACATCACTGAGTGAATTATGAATTAGATCTCTGACTGTAATAGACTCTTTTCAAGTTTTATCCTCTTGTCGTCGATTCTATTTTTCCCCAGCTCTTTTATGTCTCCCTTTAACCCCCATCTCCACCACCTCTTTCACAAACCAAGTCTATGCAAAGAAACTTAGAGGTCAAGATCCTAATTTCAGCCTGTCAGAAATTATTAAAATGTATGCGCCAGTGACATCATCAGAGGGTGTCAAGGACATCTCACCGGTATCAGTGACAGATAGAAAGGGCTCATGTGCCTGTCATTCTGAAGACAATACTTATAGGGAGAGTGGGGAGATGATTAAGTGCAGACTTCTCTCCTAATAACTCAATTTCCTGAACTGACTATTGTGAGGATCTGAGTGATAGATTGGAGGAGATGAAGCTGTCAACAAAGAAATAAGTGAATTCTGACTCTATTGCTCTTTTTTTTTCCTTGATATTATATTACTGAGTGATTTGATAAGGATTGGGTTTGAAACTGTACATTAGAGAGTAGGTTTCGAGTCTTTCATCACTGGTCCAAAGTTTATAGCTAGGCATCTCCATTCAGATCTCCCTTTGATTTCAGCAGATCAGGCTGTATGAACATGTTCAGATTAGTCCAGAACCCAGTTGAAAAAATCCGATAGTTTTCATATAATCTGTGATTGTGACATGTCTGTTGGAAAGTACCAGTCTGGATGCTTAACTGTCCAATACCAACTGTCAGTTTTCCATGGTGAATAAATTAACATTTTAAGACTGGTACAGACTTTCTGAGATCACCAGAGCCAAATCTGGGACTTAATCAGCCTTTATGTCATGTATTTGCTAAAGTATAAATGTAAAATATCTTGATATATGATACTTCCTTCCTTCTTAAATAAACATAACTAATTGATGTTTATTTCCTAAATGATTGATTGAGGTTTCTCTCAAGCCCTTTCAGCCTACTTGGCTACACTTACCAACATTTCTGAGGTAGTAGCTGGTCAACTGCCAAGTCAATGGTCCAACAAGTATTATTCTATATACATAAAAACAGTCTAATCAAAATGCAACTGATGCAAATGTTCACCTCTATGCTGATGATACTGTCACTTACTTCTCTGTAGGCTTTTTAAAAACTTCAGTCAGTATGACTGGATGTTTGTTCTGGTTGATGACAACACTGAACTTATTTTGTCACAAATAGTAAAGCCTTCCTGTGCATGGAATATTCGCAAAAACCTTTTAAACTCAATGAGGTCCTCAAGACCCTGTGTACCCTCAAATAAAAACACTTAACGTTGTTGTCTTGTTACTTCCTCACTTTTCCTAAGTTTAGAGAAATGAACATGACTTTGAACAAAATCCTTTCTTACTTCTGTTTGGGTTCTCAGAGACCTGGATGTATGGATGGATGGGTCTAACTGATTGTAGTATCATTATTTACCTCACTATGTAGGATAGCATACAGTTTTATTATTCTGGCTATCAATGACTTTTATCAGACAAAGCAAGTATACCCTCTTTTTGTAGCATACATTTTTATGGTGTAATAAAAAATACTTTAAGGTCACTTATACCTATACTGCTACTAAATACTTATATTTATTTGTTTTCAGACACAATCCTCTGTTTATTCCTATTTAAATGCATCAGTAATCACTTTTGACCAGGTGCAATGATAACATTATGTATACCAATTACCCAGGTGAAAAGAAATAAATCACATTGTCACAATCATTTCATGGAAAAAGGAAAAAAATATTTTATTCCCACTTTATGAGCAACAGTGTAAATTACTGTAGTGTAGAGACCGTGTTAATTTGGCTACCAACTGGCCCCACTAATGTATTGTGTAATGTTGTTTTTTATACTAATCTTGGTTTGTTTAGATGATTTTATAACTTGTATTATTTGTGTTGTAGGTTTTTTTTTTTTTTTCCTTTTGCCTTTTACCCATTTCCTATTTTGAAGTCTGTTTATCCTCACAGTTAATGATAATCTCTTAATGTGATTAGAAACCTACACACCACCTTCCACATCTCTGAGCCCTTTGTGATTTGTGCATAGGTTATATGTATCAAGCTGTTTCTGGTGATCCAAGATCCAGTTTCCATTCATCCCAGTGGAGTTTTCTTTCCTTGCCAAGAATTTTATTGCTACATGCAAGGGGTTTGTTTTTGTCTTGGCATATGTTTGGGCAGTGATGCACAAGGCAACGTTTTTGAACTGGGTTAACTGGCAGGAGTGCCCGAGGTTCTGATTCAACAGAGGGTTTGTTTTTAGAATACATTTTTAGACTTTGATGGGGTTTTGTTTTTTTTTGTTGCTTTCCAGTTTGAACATCTACTGTAAATGGCCCCCAAACTCACCTTTGTCATTATCTGCTGATGTTTACATGTTATTTGCCTCATTAACAGCAGTGGCAGATTGAAGTCACTCCTGAAGAAGTGAACTTGCGTCTGAGAGCACTTTGAATGTATTTGCATAAAAGCAGTGATTTAAGAGCAGAATAGACAAGCAGATAAACAATCATGCATTAGGGAACACATCTTGTTTGTTGTGATTCTTCACACATGAGTGCTGCTGTCACCTTCAGTGCTTGCATGATCTGCTCTGTGATTGTTACAGCCTAATGAGCAAACCTCCTTTGTTTTGTTGACCCTTTTAGGGTTCGATGCGTACTTCACATCACGGACTCTGGAGAACAACAGGAGGAACGTGTGGTTTGCCGAGTACTGGGAGGAGAACTTCAACTGCAAGCTGATGAGCTCCTCCAAGAAAGACGAGAGCAGCAGAAAGTGCACAGGTAAGTTTGTGTGTGTGTGTGTGTCCATAATAACCTACTGCAATGTTTATGTGTGTGCATGTGGATGTGTACTCTTGAAAATACCTTAATGCAACCTTGTACGTCTACAAATACGTAAATAGAGTATGTGGAGTGGTCCAGTAAACCCTTCTGCTTGTGAGGGTTGTGTACTTACTAATGCTGAACACACACCAGAGGACTTTGAAAAGACTGTTAAAGGAGTGAAGTCCGACACCCTCTAACATCTAAACACAATGTGTCATAAGCCACAGAGTTTTAGTCTCACACTATAACATTTTGTAAAGACTAAGGATCTTGCAGGGTTACTATTTCCAAGACTACGGATACATTCCTTTGGGCTTTGAGATTTCCCATCATGCTCCTGGGGGACTTTTACAGGAAGAAAAACTGTTTTTGTCCAGACTGTTTAAAATTCGACAGTATTATTATTATATAAGGTAGTTAATCACTAACAGTTAACACTTTGATTGTCATGATTTGCCTCTAAAATGACTGTTTGGACTTTGTATTTAGGATTTCCTGTTTTATTTTGAAATTATTTTCCTCCTGTCCAGTCGTCCTCGCCTCTCTTATGTATTTCTTGCTAGCCTCACACCAAATGACTCACATTCTTGTGCCCCCCCGGAGTCGCCTCCATGCTCACTATCAACTCAGTTTTGGTGTTTCCTGTTTGATGCTGGAGAAGCGGTCACGTCATTGAACGTCACTATTTACATGAGCCAAGACTAAAAACTTACGTACTTACATGTTTGATTTTATCAGAACGTCAAGACAAAAAAAAAAGACTGACTTAAGAAAGTTTGACGACTACCACACACCAAACGATTAAGATGACGGGAACAACTCTAGCAAAACTCTGATGATTTTATTCCAACACTGGAAACTTGTCTGTGACAGTGAAATCGCTTGTCGTTTGGTGTAAGGCCGACGTAAATCTGTTTCCATTTGGTTTTGACCGAAGCACCAACTTGCCTGCCTGCTTGCCTCAGTACAATGGTCCATGATAACAGACTTCAGTGGTGCTGATGTGAAGATACAATGTGAGAGAGGCCACTTTGAGCGCACTGATGGTAGAAAGTGTACGTGAATGCTACTTCACGATTTGAAATTCACCACAGCGCTGCTGAGCTGCAGACAGAAGAAACGCTCAGAGAGAGAAAAGAATCCAACGCCGATATCCCACTTCTAATGAACACTATCATTGCATACTGACTTTTTGCATACACTTGGTCTTCTCTTGCGGAGGTTGTTGGGAAAGTATAGATGCATTTGCAATTAAAGACAGAAACTCATAAGTCCGTCTGGTCGACAATCAATAATGCATAGCAATTAGTGCCCAAATATGATATTGTGAAAAGACCTTGAACACTAATGAACCTGTTCAATTGAGTATTGATTGAAGCCAGAAAAGAACTTATTATCTTGTCTCACATATTTTTCCAGATTTGTCTCATTGCATGTCTGTTTCCTTTCACCCTCTGATGCTCTGATTAATGATACTTATCTGATTGATATTTGATTTACAAACAAAAACTCTTCTAAGTAAATTTGCCTAATTATAGTTTGTTCTCCTTTCTTTGCTGTGCCCCCCACCCACCCACCCCGCCCTCATGCAGTAGAGTTTGAACCACAGAGACTCTGGGATTATCTGTGCCCCCCCCAGAACTGAAGCTTTAATTACATAATGTACACGTCCTTTGTGCCACTTCAGGATGACTGACTTCCTCTGTGCCCTCACAGCAGCAGGCATGAGGACAAAACACACCAGCAGGCAACTGTATTCCATGAAGCTCCCCTAAAGACTCAGACAGGGAAAAGTTCAAGCTAACTCACTGTCTGGTTAAAACAGACAGAGGAGGTCAGGGTTTGTTTGTTAAATGGACATGTAGGGTATGGTGGTTTGTTATTTTAGATGTGGGCAGATTATGGGACAACATGCCCCTGGGCAGCAACATGTAATAAGCCTCACATGGCTCCTACATACGAGCAAGACAGCAGACTGAAAGAATCACAAACCATTATTTCATGTCTCTTTTTGCTTCTCTTTGTAGTTCGTTTGCATCTTTGTTTCTGTTTTGTTTCTCTTTGCATTTGTTTAGTGTCTGTAGTTTCTTTGAGTCTCTTTCTCATCATTTTGTGTATCTTTGCAGCAATCGTGCATCTCTCGGTCTCTGTCTATGATCATCAGTGTTCACACTAGAGAGGGGCCCTTGTCCCTTTTGGCCCCTGGTCTGTTCAGTAATTCATTTATAATTTTGTGGGCTGCATGTTTCTGAGAAAAAAAGACAATTTGAGACGTGGAAGATTTCAAAGCAGGCAACAGCATGTGTCCTAAAACAAGCCAAAGGAGTAGTTCCATGTATGATTATCAGTTATGACGTCACGTCTTCACTAATGACCTGTTAGATATTTGCTGTCATTATCTGGGTTTCATGTAACTACTTTGCTGTAAGCCAAAAACACACTTTCATGTGTGTGACTGGTGCTCATTATGTCTGGGCATTTTTCAGTCTTCTGTGAAAAGCATGAATAAAACATCCAGAGCTCTGTGAAGCTCAGTGTGTCAGTGGTGAGCACTGTCGCCTCCCAGCAAGAGGGTTCAAATCTCCGCCCGTATCATAGCTGTGTGGAAGTGATAATGAATCAACACGCTCGGCTCCAGTTTGGCCGGTGAATCCTCAGAAACAAATAAACAGAAATCATCTGTTCACTGCCTACAGTTACAATCAGCATGCCGAGAGAGGGGTGGGGGTGGGGGGGGCATCTGCCCAAAATGTCTGAAGATTACCACATTATTTAAATGAAGTGCCATCACATGGGGATTTTTGCATATGTATCTGGATTTTCTCTCCAGTTTCCTCCAGAGGCGCACCATCAAGAGAGACAAACCAGGCAAATGTTTGGGGCCACGCCAGGGGCAAACGGGCCCCTGAGGCCCCTCATATGGGTACATTTTTCTGTGAGAACCATAAACCCCCCCCCCTAAACCTTCCATATGTACTACTATACAGTGCAGTGCTGCTTCCCCAAAACCCCCCTAACAGGGGCCTCTGATGGTGTGTGCTGTAGGTAGCACCTACCTATTGCTTGCATGTGAGGCATTCAGGGAACATCTGTAAATTGTAGCATTAGCAAGCTACAAGCAAAATGAATACAGGAGGTTATATAGTGTATTTATTCTAACATTTATGATGAAAACAAACGTCTGGATTGGTTTGTGTCCTCTTGCATTTCAACATGTATGCTCGGGAAGGATATATATTTTTGTTTTTCATCAGATTAGCTGAGCAGTGCAGGAGGAAGCTTGGCTGATGTTAGAGAGGTGTTACTTATTCCTCATGAGCCTGATTCTTTCATCAACACTTCAGACCAACTTTATTATCACCTGCACCTACTGCCACTGCACGCACCCCATCCTTTTAAAATGATGCAATATGACCCTTTCATGTCTTTTTTTTCCTTTTAATCAGACACTTTAAATTCGTCTGAGCCTCCTCCCATCATAAACACAACTTTCAGTTTTTACTCCAGTTTCTAAAGATAAATAATGCACTAAGTCCCAGTGCAGTTCTGACTTGTTTTAAAACTTCCTGCTCTGTTTCCATTATTCATTTCCACCTAGACTATTAACAAAACACAACTTTTATTTAGACTGGTTAGATTTACATTTAATGCTGTAGTTTATTATTTAGGTACATGTTTCAGTTGTTATATTACAGATGGCATTTGGTATATTTGTGTGCAGAAACATTATGCATAGAAAACAACTGAAGGCAGGAAGTTTAAACAAATATCTGATTAAATCCAAATGCAGATATTTTTTGCAAAATAAACAGATACAGGTGCAAATATTTGTAGAAAGAGATTCCTGGTTTATTATTATTGCTTATGACCTTTTGTGTAGAGTTTGTGTATTCTCCCCATCTAAGTGTTGGTTTCCTCCCACAGTATAGAGCCATGCATTTTAGGTGAATCTGTGACTTCAGGCTGAACTTCAGGCGTGAATCTGAATGTGTGCTGGCCCTGTGTCTACCGTGTGTAACCTTTACTCTCTCCCAGTGCATGCTGGGATACGCTCCAGCCCTCTGTGACCCTGAGCAGGATGAATGGCTGGATCCGTCCCACCTTGAAAACACTCCACATGATTTTATAAGCGCTGTAGAACAGAAAGCTGACATCCTCAACGGTGCTGTTTTATGTGTCCTCATGACGATGCCGAGTGTGTGGCTGCACACATCTCCATCATGCACGTAATCTCAGTAAGGAACAGTCTATCAGCTGTTATTGCTGTAATAAAGCTGCCACATGCTGCAGCATTAGACTGGCTTTTGGTTTGTTTACAGGAGGTTTACTCAGTGGCTACTTTACAATCAACCGTTTGTCACACTGAGTGGTTTTATGTTGCTTGATTGCGCTGGTGTTTATATCCATTTGAAAAGATGGAGAAGTAATTATATTTTCCAATATGATGATATTTTATATTTTATAATTGTGTTTACGATCTCAACTGTCAAGGATTAAGAACTGGAATTATAATTATTTAATTAAATAGCATGTGATTTCTGTCAGTCAGGAAGTCGTTAGGACTGTTTGGCTTGTAAAATATGTGATAGAGCACAAAGACTTCTCCATCTGCTACTTTCTGCTCTAATCACAAGAAAACAACAATGAAATCCAGGAAGCCAATAGATCCAACCACTGTCCATAATGATCCTGGTGGACCGCAGGCCCGTGCAGTGGTGCTTGTTAGTAATGACGGGTCTTACTCACTTCATGCAGATACATGTTTATGCACAAGGACATAAAATGAGATAAACTGAGAAAAATTACAGTTTTATTACAGTAATAATAAAAAGTTAGAGTGTTGAGCTGTTTTAGCTCTAGCTGCCATCACAACAGGTTCCTCCTAATGAAATGACAAAATAAATTGCTGCTCCATGTCCCCCAGAAGGACACATATAAGCATTGTCATGGTTACA